GTACCTAATATTGTTATTTGGTATCTTTGTATTTTGAAAAAAWTACTGATACAATTTTACAATTTGAATACAAACAAATTTGTATTTTTTAGATTCCTATATAATAAACAGCATAGGTAAGAAGGTATTAAAAATACTAAAATAATTTACGGAATGTGGGTTATTTAATAATTGAAAATACATATTTTATAACCATAAAAATAGTTTTAAATGACTTTTGATGGACGGACGATTGCTCTGGAAACTTCAGTTTCAGTCGGCGTCAACGGTAAATAATTTCTATTCACCTTACAAACCTTAAAAATTCTAAAAAATATCTACCTACAAGAAAATAAAATTGAAAACCACCATTATAAAATAAAAACAATAATTATTATCTATTAATTAAGGATGGTCGGCTGTATGCTGATGACTATAAGTTATATTTTTATTGGCAAATATTTATAGATACGTTTTAAAGTTGTTTTTTTCATATAAAACTAGGTATTTGAATTTTGATGTAATTGTTTCAAAAAATTGAATATATATATTAAAGTATGTAGGCGGRTATGTATACAATACATAAATCAATAAATCAATTTTAAACTAATTTACGTCCAATCGTTTTTTTCTGTTTATATTCATATGTATATTGTACATATTATTATAATTATAGGTATAGCCTTATATAGATTTCAGTACAATCTTTAATATTATTCATTTTATTAAGACAATTTACTATTTGTTCGCACTACAATATACGTAAACTCAAGCCAAAATAAACCACTAAAAGATGAAACACTCAAATTTTGTTTTTAATTTAACGTTTTTTTATGGGCAAATAGACACATGACATGTGACATTCAACAGGCACATAATGCCCTTCGGTCTAGTTGGTCCATAAGTCTGAAGTACACCTGCACCAATTTTTACCCAACCTATATCAGAGCGCAATATCCAATTCACCGATAATAAGTACATGCGCATATATGTCATGGTTCCACCGTTGTGGTAGTTCCAAGAAATGCGTTAAAATAATAATAATAATAATATGGTCCCAAGTTGCTGTAATATATTACTTTAGACACCGTAGTTAAATCACACGAGAAAATATAACGATGGCTAGCTATTTAATTATTAATTGTGGCTTGATGAGGTGCGGCCGTACGCTCAATCTGCGGAAACGCACTACAGAGTGTATGTACCGGCCGCAGTTGCTAGCTCCCGGATGGGTGACCACCCGGGATTTTTAGCAACATATCCTTGCCACACATACACAAACACGTGTTACAACCCTACCCACTTAAAAA